TTTTACAAATTGTTACCTTGACGACATTTTAGTCGCTTCCAAAGGAAGTTTTATCGACCACAAGAAAACTGTCTATAAAATTTTATCAACGTTAGATAGTTACAATTTCGCAGTTAAATGGTCGAAATGCAAATTTGTCCAAAACGAAATTGAATGGCTCGGTTTCAAAATATCAAAATCGGGAATCGCTCCACTAATCGATAAAACCAAAGCGATTAAAGATATCCCAATTCCAAAAAATCTAAAGGAATTAAGATCATTCTTCGGGTCAACTAATCAGTACATCAAATTCGTACCAAATTTAGCATCCCTCGGAAACCCGCTTAGACCTCTTTTAAACATGAAGTCAATTTTCCTTTGGAATGAAGTCCACACAAAAGCGTTCGATATGATAAAATTAGAAATAGTCAATCTTACAGAAAACACTCACTTTGACGTTAAAAGATCCACGAGAGTAAAAACTGACGCTTCACATAACGGGTTAGGTGCTTCCCTCGAACAACTCCACGGGAACGACTGGAAAACAGTATCGTTTGCTTCAAGATTTTTAAATCCTCACGAATCCAAATATTCAACAAACGAATTAGAGTTATTAGGAGTTGTATGGGCGGTAGAACATTACAAAAACTATCTCTACGGCTCTGAATTTGAAATTATTACCGACCACAAAGCTCTTCGTTCCGCTCTGTCACCTAATCACGGAAACAAAACGTATCATAGTCGATTGACAAGATGGGTAGATCGTCTTTTACCATTCAATTTTACTATAAAGCATTTAGCGGGAAAAGATATGGGTTTTACTGACCTAATTTCAAGATCCCCTTCGGGAAAGGCAATCACCCCATCACATTACGATGAAGAATTTGTAGTCGCAACGACCAAAAAATATATATAAATTACTCAATCCGTTGGATAACGAAAATTTATTACGCATTTCAATTAGTTCAATTTCGGAAAATTCCAATTACATGAGATTACGAAATCACGCAATAATTACAGCGTTGAATTTCATTAATTCTTCCATTCCAATTTGTAATCAAAAACATTATAGAACAGAACTTTGTAACTCCAAATGCATTCCCTGGGATTTTCAAACACTGACCCTACCAAAATCATTTTATCAAATCAGGCCTTCATTTATTTTTTAATTCTTAATAGTAGTTTAATTAGTAATCCCTCGGATTTTAAACTTATAAATAGTGTAAATATGTCTAATAACTAAATTGTAGTTAATCTTTCTACCTCCGGAATACAGGTCTCAACCGATTTCCAAATTTCTTCAGAACACAAAAAACTAGTAACAAAATATCGAGAAAATCTCAAGTTACCTGAAAAACCTTTGGATCTAAACACGTTATTTAAGGCAAAGTTGGTCGCATTACTAAGAGAAGACGACGAAATGCTAAATCCAATCGTAAAAGCTCTACAAAACAAAGTTAAAAGCATCAATGCAAATTCTCGTTACCTGTACCAATTTGCGAAAGACCTCCATGAATCCGACGGATTATTATGTATGGATGGAAAATTGGTTATTCTTTTTACACTTTGTAACGCCGTTCTAAAAACATTACACGATTCCCACCCTGGCCAATTCGGTAAGAAATACTTAGCACAGTATATATGGTGGCCTCACATAAATCGACAGATCTACTTCCATGGGATTAACTGTACACAATGCACCCAAACTGGTAAGAATATAAAAAGCATTATACCTACCACTCAAGTTAGCGAACTTCCGGCTTTATCCGAACCTAATGAGGAGCCCAACTTCGATTTTTACGGTCCCTTAGATAACAACTGGGGAAAGAATAAATACATTTTATTATGTATAGATCGTTTCTCAAAATTTCCATCAGCTAAAATTACATCTTCAACGTCATCAAACACGGTAATCGATTTCCTTCAAGATTATTTTTACCACCATGGGATTCCTAACTCTCTTCGTGTCGACCACGCATCCTGTTTTACTAGTCAGGATTTTATATTATTCTGTAATTTTTTTAATATCAAATTAATATTTTGTACAGTCGGGGACCATCGTTCTAACGGTCTTGTAGATAAACTTGTTCATACTGTAAAAATTAAGTTATTAGCAATGTCAATAGAACAACAAAGACTTACCTTACAATTCGCTATCTCGAAAATTGTTTGGAACTTACGATCTTCCTGCCAATCAAAAATAAAATGTTCACCATTCGAAATACATTTTAATAGAAAACCGAACACGATCTGGAAACAATTGGCATCTAGTAATTTATCCGGTGGGATTTTAGACAAAGGGAAGTCAATCTTAAGCAAAGAAAGGGCCTTTGACTGGAACGCGGACGATCGGATAGAAGACGGTTACAAAGACTGTTTAGTACCAAAGAAGAACCAGTCACCACTTGAGAAAGGGTACGACTCAGACCATCCTGCAGATTCAAAACCGTCTTGTTCCCGAGTGTCTCTAAAAAGCCTGTTTAAAGGTAATTTACTCCGAAAGACCAATGGAAGTATAAACGGAAATCTTCTCTATAAACAATTGGGCCAGAAAATAATAAACTCAACAAAATCTATGGTTGAACTATCCGACGGAAAAATCATTAGAAAATCGGACATCGCCATCCCAAAGTCTAAATCTTCTACAATCCGTTCATTCAAAGAAAATAATTCTTTTCCTTCTTTTATTAACACTGATTTACAAGTAGGTTCAAGAAAGACTAACAAAACAAAGCCCCAACAGACAGGGAAACTAGGCCCTAAAACGAGACGACAAATAGAGCTTCCTACTCCGGTTACCACTAGGTCTAGAGGGATAAACCAACCAATTAAACTCAACAAGTCAAAACGAACCCAAAATAAAGCTTCGACGTCTAACACTGGATATTTAGCAGGTGACGAATCCATGTTCATTCCGTCGGATACATCTGACATCAGTGATTGGGAGTGAATCGCGGGTGGTTTCCCATGCAGGGAAATGATAAGAGAACGTTTCATTTCGGATAACCCCATTTTTAACGAAGAACATACCTCATCATTAAATCCCCAAACATATCAAGCTAATATAAAACCTGAGATTTTAGACGAACAACTCCAATCGTCGGACACAGCGGAATGTCCAATCAGTATAAAACCAGCTGCCCAAACTACCTCCAATTCACCTAACAAACCTCCTACTACTGCAACATCGGAGGGACTAAACGCTCCGTTGGATACAACGAAGGAATCGGAGAGAGAAAATCCTATCGAATTTCCAGTCTTCGAGATAGAAGACTCCTCTGATGAAAACGCGATTGTTGAGGAGAGGCATCCAAAGGAGACCATCATCACTGGTAATGATTTTAAATTCAGACGTTCAAGGCGAAATGTTGGACCTCCCCATTTTTATGCTTAACGATTGTACATAGATATTATAGATAAGAACGAAAACCAACCAGGCTCCGCGAAAAACCCAATACATCTGGACGAAAATGACAGTTTGGGCACCATTACAAGGAACAAAGACCATTATAAGGAATCCCTCGGATATTCAAACCCCTATTTTCGACATCCAATCAGAAGAATGTACCTCCGACTCAGTGATCTCCTCATCCTCAGATCAAATCTCTATTATCTCCACTGACGAATCCCTGAGAGAGGCCGTGAATAGTTTGGAAAATTATATAGACTTAGATAGTGAAATTTTCAACGCGGAGTTAGAGAAATTTATGGAAGGGGACAGTTAAACTAAAACAAAAAATTCGCATTTAGACTTTAATACTTTTATTAGTACTTCATTACAGTGCAGTTAGAATCTATCTACGTTTTGTAGTCATCGATTATAATCCGCCGGAATCATGAATTGTGCTATTACATCTTTCTAATCAGTCACTCCTTCGGAGCATTAAAATTTCATGGTTATATTGGGCAGTATTTAATTTTTCAATCCCTTGGTTGGACTCCTTGAGGGAGAGAAAAGGGTTAGTTATCTTGTTACGTACCATAGCGTATAGTAGTTTATTTTTTTCCCACTAAGGGGAATGTTGCGAATCATACCATTCTTCTTATTTCATTTAATTAGTTTTAAATACTTTAACTGGTTAATTTATATTTGACCTTGGTTTGTTCATTCTCTCCGACGGAGAAAATGATCTCTCACTTTTTTAATGTTTTAATACAGAGATTAATTCACTTTTTAAACATATCTTATTTGTAACTAAGTAGAATTATCCGTAACAAAGAAACATTTTATCAGACAAAAAACAGATATTCGTCGACGGGCATGGTGTTTAACGCCATGGATACTTTTTACAGTATCTAGCATTATAAATTACATTGAAAATTGAACTTTTAAAAATGGATTCACTTAATTCAATGATCAACAAGTGAGCAAAAATTCAGAGAACAAGAACCTTGGCTATGAAAAATTAGAAGAATTAAAGAATCTTTGGCAAATTCAAAATATCGGGCAGGTTGGTACGGGTCAAGTTAGTTGTCTTGAGAAAAAGTTTCACGTAAACTAGAAATTATGAAAAATATAATAAAAAATAGGCAGGAAAATTACATCACATGCTTAGGTCCAAAAGATTGCAAGTCCGAATCTCAAGTGGAACCCGCTGCCATTAGCCATCACATTTTTTTTGTTGAGGCCCAACAGCTTTTCATTAACCAAATTATATGCTTGCTTCTGCTGCAAAAATTTTCAGCTTGATTTTGGTATATTTTGGTCTTTTCCTTGCAATGTGTTACTGTAATGTGAATGTTTCGTTTTGTATATATTGTTGAAGTTGAAGCCCCAACTTGACAGAACAGTTTGAGTCAATATTTGACTGATTATTATTCCGACCATTTTCCAAAGTTTTTTCACCCATTTTTCTCAACAAAAAATCGTTAAAATGTATTTTTTTTAAATTTGTAGTTATTGACAATGAACTTAGAAGTTGAACCTTCTGGGCTACCTGCACAACAACCAGCTTCTCCTGATTTAATATGAGAATTGGTATTATTTTTAAACCTTATTATTATTTTTTAAATTTTTTCAGTCTCTGTGAGCATGAATCCACAGTCGAAGCAGGTGCCCCTGTACAAGGACGTGTTCATGAGTTGTGAGTTCCGCTTCTCCCCCTCCTCCCCCAACCAGGCCAGCCCCCCTCTGGAGGAGACCGGGAGTGAGATAGTCTGGCTGAAACAGACCCCCGGCACCTCCATGTTCAGACCAGTTGTACAGTCCAAAGGCACTGGGTACATGGCAAGAACGTAAGTAAACACAAAACACTGATGGCTAAACTATTCTGCTCGTAGTGTATGAAGCGAAAATTGGTCGCATGACTATTTTTTTGCAACAACAAAAACTAAATTCAAATGAAATATTCTGCACGCAACGCAGTAATCAGGAAGGAAGGAAATGCCCAGCAGTTCTGGGGGACTTGGTTTAGAGTGATCCACGCAACTACTCGACAAGGATATCAGATCAAACAGTTTTGCATCAAACGACTTTTTATCATTCTGATTTAATTGTAGAGCCAAATTCTAGATCTATCAAGTAATCCAGATCAATCTACCTTCATTCACTAACTGAATTAACTCTAGACATAGTAGCTGTGAAAAATCAGTTGCAAACTGGGACATTGCTGATATTTTAAGAGACTGAATTTTGATCGGCAACCCTTTTGATCGGCGTCAAAATGTACAAGAAACGGGAGAACGATTTACAAACCAATAAGTTTTTGATCCAATACGTTTTTATAAGGTTTTGATCAAAATATCACTTAAAAGAAATAGAATTTTCATCAATTTTTCTCAAGAATAGTCATGTTGTAAGTATCAAAGCAAAGTAGGAGTTTCTCGAGATTTTATAAACGTGCGGTCAATCGATTTGGTTACCTTGGAAAAGAATCCGCCCTCTTCTCGCGGCACTTATTTGATGGCCATTTTGCAATTATTAAAATGATCGCAGTCTTGCCTTAATTGCAATGATTGTGACTAATTGTTACAAACAGTAGTCAGCTAAAATGTGGTTCAAATTGTTCATGTAGTTTGTTTCAAATCTAAAAGAAAACTGGTTAAACTTACTTGCTCACCGTTTCCTTAAAATCTCATTCTTTAACTCTGAGTTGTGGTCCCGAGAACGAAGATAGGTTTGCGCAGATTGTTCTGCGAGTGGGGAAATTAAATCAAAAGCATCAAAATCTGCTGATGTTTTTGTTCCAACCATTTGAAAAATGGGGAGCAATTTGGTATTCGGGTGTCGTTCAGTTTTTATTATTTTTGTTTTCCACGCAAAATCAGCTAACGCAAATAATCATTGGAATGGGCCGAGTATTATATCATAATTTTCAAATCAAAAAGTTGTCCCAGCATCAAGAAAGAAAACAAACTTCAAATTTTTGATTCGAGCGAATCAAGCGAGCAAGCAGGCTTACAATAGCTTATTTTAACAGCTTAATAGTTTAAAATAGCCTAATTTAAGCTGTCAAAACCTAAATTCACTCGAGTAAAATTTTTTGAGTTTTTAAGCGCTTTTCGGAATCAAAAAGTTCAAAAAATTAAACGATTGCAAAAAAAAATTAAAATTTTTTGATTTTTTTTGTTCCGACCAGTTGAAAAATGTGGAAAAACTTCGAATTCGGGTGTGTTTCTTTTTTTTTGTTTTCCGCGCAAAATCAAGTATCACAAAACATCATCGGGTTGATTTGAATGATATATCATATTACAGCCCTTTCAGTCTTGATTGAAACAAAATTAAAATTCCAAAGTTTTTTTGAACTGTGAGAAAAACCGGGCTTAATTTAGACCAATTATAATAGCTTATATATTTTTAATTTTAGTTTTACTTGAGTTTATTTAGAGTTTTATTAACGCCATTTTAAGAGTCATAAACTTCAAAACTCCAAAAGTTCTGCAAATAAAAACTGAAAAAAAAGTTCGATTGTTTTATAATTTTTTTTGTTTTCCTAGTCATTTTTCTTTTAAAATTATTGTCCAGTCTGCCTGTTTTACTATGACTGTCGAATATGCATAAAATTTTTGTTCAGATCCTCTTATCACACCAAGAACACAAACGGCACTAATTTGAAAGAAAAGACAGTTTGTGTGCTTTTTAAAACTATTAAAACATTATGTTCTACCTGCACAGTAGCCGGCTATCCTTGTTTTTTTTTCTTTTTTTTCCACGCAAAATCAGGTACCACAAATAATTATCGGACCGGTTTGAGTGATTAATTATAAAAAAATCCTTATAGTCGTGATTTGAACCACATAAAAAATTCAACAATTTTTTCACCGTTTCGAGAAAAACCGGTTTGAAATTTTTGATTTTTCGTCTTATTTCGAGCGAACAAAGCCAGGGAGCAGTCTTAACTTAACTGCTTAAAAACTTACAATCGCTTAATTTAAAAAGTAAAAAACTTAGTTTAATTCGAGTAACGTTAGTTAACTTTGATTATTTTAGCGTTTTTTTGGAATCAAAATCTTGAAAAATTCAAAACACTTGAAAAACATGTTTTTTTTAAATATTTTTTGATTTTTCAAGTAATTTTGTTAATTTGAAATAAAATTGTTTTTTAATTGGCTTATTTACTATGACTGTCAAGTATGCCTAAGCTCTGTTTTTTTCCTTCAGATTCTTTTATGAGACCGCAGAAAAAAAACAACACAAATCTGCAAAAAAAATTTTTTTTGTATTTTTAAGACTATGATCGGAATATTCTGTGCTATTTGCACAGTAACCGGTTATCCTTGTTGTATTTTGAGCTAGTTTTGTTATAGTTAGTGTGATTTCGAGCTCATCAAAGAATGGTATGTTTTCGCTGCTCGCTAATTGGGTCGTTCTTGTTTACAGTTTTTTTCATCTTCGTTCTTTATTTCGCCTCCCAATGAAATTTATGCAAGCGACTGTGAAGCTAGGGCTGATGTAAATCGAAGCTACTTTATTGATGTTTTTTTGCTTCCATTTTCTAATTGACAAGATTTCTTGAAATCTGAAAGTATTCAACTTAGGTTGTTGATTCTCGAATGGGTTTTAAATAAATTTTCAGATACTTCATCATTCACTTTTTTCGAAAAATTTCTGCTAAGCCAAGGGAGGATCTAGGATTTTTTCGAGGGTGGTAGATTTTCCAAAATTTTGCGATAATTTGAGGTTCTTTGATTTTTATTTCGAGCAAAATGATTTTCGGACTCTATTTGAGCAAAAAAATATGCACCGCAGGCAATTTTTTGAAAATTAACTAGTCAAAAAAATTGCCTTGGAAACTTTTGACCGAAAACTTGCGTTTTTTCGGCACTCTCCCCTTTAAAATTAGAAAAATTTTAAGGTTTCGTCGGCCTAAACTGGATGTCATGTTTTGGTCAGATGTTTTGGTGGACTAAAGTTTGAACCTCATAATCGATTCTCCTGGAAGTCATTGTAAGTCTTGAGAGTAGAACCATAGTTGGAGCGGCATGGAAATCTTTGAACTATTTTTTTAGCTCTTGAATTTGTTTTCTGGAAAAACTTGTCATTAGATTGCTGCAGTATTTGAGTCTGAAAACTGAAAAAAAAGTTCGATTGTTTTATGATTTTTTTTGTTTTCCTAGTCATTTTTCTTTTAAAATTATTGTCCAGTCTGCCTGTTTTACTATGACTGTCGAATATGCATAAAATTTTTGTTCAGATCCTCTTATCACACCAAGAACACAAACGACACTAATTTGAAAGAAAAGACAGTTTGTGTGCTTTTTAAAACTATTAAAACATTATGTTCTACCTGCACAGTAGCCGGCTATCCTTGTTTTTTTTTTCTTTTTTTTTCCACGCAAAATCAGGTACCACAAATAATTATCGGACCGGTTTGAGTGATTAATTATAAAAAAATCCTTATAGTCGTGATTTGAACCACATAAAAAATTCAACAATTTTTTCACCGTTTCGAGAAAAACCGGTTTGAAATTTTTGATTTTTCGTCTTATTTCGAGCGAACAAAGCCAGGGAGCAGTCTTAACTTAACTGCTTAAAAACTTACAATCGCTTAATTTAAAAAGTAAAAAACTTAGTTTAATTCGAGTAACGTTAGTTTACTTTGATTATTTTAGCGTTTTTTTGGAATCAAAATCTTGAAAAATTCAAAACACTTGAAAAACATGTTTTTTTTTAAATATTTTTTGATTTTTCAAGTAATTTTGTTAATTTGAAATAAAATTGTTTTTTAATTGGCTTATTTACTATGACTGTCAAGTATGCCTAAGCTCTGTTTTTTTTCCTTCAGATTCTTTTATGAGACCGCAGAAAAAAAAACAACACAAATCTGCAAAAAAAATTTTTTTTGTATTTTTAAGACTATGATCGGAATATTCTGTGCTATTTGCACAGTAACCGGTTATCCTTGTTGTATTTTGAGCTAGTTTTGTTATAGTTAGTGTGATTTCGAGCTCATCAAAGAATGGTATGTTTTCGCTGCTCGCTAATTGGGTCGTTCTTGTTTACAGTTTTTTTCATCTTCGTTCTTTATTTCGCCTCCCAATGAAATTTATTCAAGCGACTGTGAAGCTAGGGCTGATGTAAATCGAAGCTACTTTATTGATGTTTTTTTGCTTCCATTTTCTAATTGACAAGATTTCTTGAAATCTGAAAGTATTCAACTTAGGTTGTTGATTCTCGAATGGGTTTTAAATAAATTTTCAGATACTTCATCATTCACTTTTTTCGAAAAATTTCTGCTAAGCCAAGGGAGGATCTAGGATTTTTTCGAGGGTGGTAGATTTTCCAAAATTTTGCGATAATTTGAGGTTCTTTGATTTTTATTTCGAGCAAAATGATTTTCGGACTCTATTTGAGCAAAAAAATATGCACCGCAGGCAATTTTTTGAAAATTAACTAGTCAAAAAAATTGCCTTGGAAACTTTTGACCGAAAACTTGCGTTTTTTCGGCACTCTCCCCTTTAAAATTAGAAAAATTTTAAGGTTTCGTCGGCCTAAACTGGATGTCATGTTTTGGTCAGATGTTTTGGTGGACTAAAGTTTGAACCTCATAATCGATTCTCCTGGAAGTCATTGTAAGTCTTGAGAGTAGAACCATAGTTGGAGCGGCATGGAAATCTTTGAACTATTTTTTTAGCTCTTGAATTTGTTTTCTGGAAAAACTTGTCATTAGATTGCTGCAGTATTTGAGTCTGCGGCGGAAAGCTCCGTTCCACTATAATTCGGTTATGTTCTGGGATATTTAAAACCGACAAGTACAACAATTGGAACTTGCACTTCTTACAACATCTTTTTGTCGACGGAAATCTCAAGTGATTTGTTTCCTTTACTGATTCAAATCCAATTAAAACAAAAATTGTTTCAAACTCTTCATCAAACCCCTGATGTACTATAAAAAATGGCATATCTTGCTAAAATTTATCTGGGAGTTATACAGACAACGCATTGAAGAATACTATATACACCCGCAAAGTTGAAAAACAAATTAAATCAAAAAATTTGTTTTTTTTTGGATAATTACAATCATTTTCAAGTAATATATGCCCCCCCCCCAAAAAAAAAAGAATTAATTCGAAAAAAAAACGTTGGATGAGTGCAAAAAAGGAAGTTTTTAATTTTTTTGCACTGAACTCTAGTAGCTGTACTGAAACGTATTGAGGAGACTTAGAGATCTGGTTACCAAATTTTTCTAAAGGTTCCACCATTGGTACTATGTTAGGACATCCATCTATCGGTTGACCAAACTCATAGATGAGTTTTTTGAAAGCACCTTGGGCGCCATTATACATTAAGTTTATGGTGGTCGCGAGCCAAAAAAAAGCAATTTATTGGTCAAGGTTTTTTCTTTTGAAATGACCTCTCCCCCTTTGAAAAGTTCCTACGTACTCTACTGCTTCGACTGATGTACCATCATAAAATCATTAACAAGTTAGAATTATTCGACCGCTATGTTTTTGGAAATTGTTGCTTTTCAATTTAAAACTAGCGTCAATATCTAAGTTTTAGATGACAAAACAAAGGCAACTTTTTTTTCGTGCACATGTAATTAAGGAAGCTGTAGAACATTACATAAATTTGAGATATATAATTATTTTGGATCATAGAAACATAACTGTTTTGTTTTTCGCAGAGTCGTTTTTCAGTGCCGTGTCTACACTTATGCTAAGTTCTGGGTACCCTATAGTTTTTTTCTAAATCATTTTTATTTTAATAACGATTATACATGTGGAGTTTCCTGCAACTCATTCTCTACGATGGATGATTTGTTTCACATACTCCTTACCCGGTGCGCTCGGGGTGGTGGGGGGGGGGGAGTTTAATAGTTCTTTGCACCTATTGTGCTGAGTTGTGATTTATTGTATTGTGTGTTTCTAGAGTGAAAGTGCGTGTGCTGTCTTACAACGAGGAGAAGCAGACCAAGTCCTCGTCCCTCGAGGTCCGCAGAATATCGGAGGCGGATGCCGGCTACTACAAGTGCATCATTGGAGGGGGCAAAACAGCCGGCGGTCAGGAAACCAATGTGGCTCAGCTGCAAATAGGTACTGCAACAGCAATCACTCAAATAAGCGAGAGGCACACACACTCCTTTTCTAAACCTCCCCCTCCCTCCTCTTCTTTTAATGTCGAACACTCGCGTGGGTCGAAATTCTATCTTCGCCGCCGTAGTATCACATCGTTTTGCTTATACGCTTTGGCATCTGTCAAATTTCAATTGTATTAGCAATTAATTAACCCAAAGGGTAAAATATGAGTAAAGGAGCAAATTTAGCTAGCAAGCGATCAATTTTCAATCGAACTAAGAAGAGAATTAACATTAACTTAGTTGAAAATCTGGGGGCCTGTCGAAAAAGTTGGACCCATCATTGTCTGACTGCAGTGAACTACTTTGTGCAATAGTGCCTGGCATCTCAGTCAGCCCGAGTGTGGTTAGCATCGAACCAGACAGACCCTTCCGCATCTACTGCAACGTCACTTCCACCCAACAGGGATCCCGATTCTCACCCGGAGGCCCCAGGGGACTGGGAGGGGGAGTGCTGGACAACACTATCACGTGGACTTATGCCAGCACCAGGCTGGTGGACCCAGATGACCCCATTGCCATGCAGAGACTCATGGAAACTGCGAGGCAGTTGTCCTCATTGCCAAAACTCCAATTCGAGTTAGTTATTTTTAACCCCCATTTTGAACTCGAAAAGTAAAAAAATTCATGTCAACTAACTTTTAATTACCATTTTCGGCTGTTAAATATGCGAATGTTTGTGTCAACTATGCCATTTTGAAATATTTGTTTGTACTTTCAAAATGGGAAGGAGCTAAACGAGGCCAATTTTTAGTACCATTGGTCCCCTAGTTGTCACGGCAAAATCGGACTCAATAGAGCCCATATTTATTTAGACAATAGGGTTCGCTCATCCAATTCCATCCAAGTGGGGACCCAAATTGGGCTTATATGCCTCTTTTCTATAAAAACCAGAAGCACCTCGCGGGAAGCGCATCCCATTTCTGTAGTTTGTCTGAATCATCTCTGATACCTTTGTTAGAGAAGACAGAAAGAAAGAAAGAAATAAAGAAAGAAAGAAAGAAAGAAATTATTACGTCAATTGTATATATATGATGAAATATAGAAAAATTGTGATCAAAAATTGCTTTCAAAAATTTAATGAAATGTGCATCTTACAACATGTAAACAATTGAAGAAGATAGACTAATGAAATAGGAAACGCCCACTTAGGATGCAACCAGCAATTGTATTCCTTTGTTGCATCAATTAGTAGAGTAGCTTTGTATTTGTTCTATTTGTAAATTATATTAAAACAATTTTTACAAAAAAAAAAGATCAATGAGCTAAATTTTAAAAAAAATGAAAGAGGTGAGCTCAATAAAGATGACGAAGTGAGCACAATCATCTTCTCTGAGACATTGGGGACTAATAACTTGGACTTTTATGCTGAAAGTTGGGCTCATTTGTCTCATTTTACTAGAAACGGGGCTCTTTCAACCCGTTTTTTTAAAAGTTGGGTTCATTCATCTGTTTACAAAGAAAAAAGAGATCAAAATGAGGACTAATTTCAACCCGTGTGGTTTTCAATCTATTTTCAACTTTTATTTCTGATAAGTTCTGAGCAAATGTTTTTCGCGAGATTTTTGAAGTACATAATTCATGCACAATTTGGGTTTATACATTCAAGCTTATTAGATCCATAGTTAGTGTGATTGTTTGTAGGTTTTTACACTCCAAATTAATAAATAAGAAAAAACATGGTCTAGCAGTTTTTGATAATTGTACAGCAAGTATCAACTCTCGTTTGTATCAAGTGATAAAAAATTTAAAAAAAACCCAAAAAATTGAAAAACTCCAATGGCGTAACAAAACTGTTTAGGATTTTCCGGTTTTACAGTAAGTTTTAAATTACAAGAAGTTCTGTGTTAAACTTCTAATTTAACTCTGCGAGATTAGTTTGCTTTGCAGTATTTAGTAGAAATGCTTGCATCTCAATCGTCCATTTACCAAAAAAATAGTGTCTGATTATTTAGTTGATTAAATCATTTAAAATAAAATCTTCGTGCAAAGCCACCGGCTATCCACTCGATAATATTGAGGTAAGAAGGAGGCTGCTCTTGTTACATTTGAAGTCGAACAAATGAAAAAAGACTTAGTGTGTCCTATTTCACTGGTTTCTGAGCCAGATTTATTCGCCGCCAATGCGTTACAAGATCGTTATATGATGCAAATTGGCTAAATTTGTAAGGTTCAAACCCCATAATTTTACGAAAAAAGAATACAGGTGAAAATGTTCCGCCCAAAACTGCTGGTTCAAAATTCAGAAATTATCAGGAGACTATTCCGTTATTTTTTTTAACGTGGAAATGGTTAGAGTTATAGGGTTATCAGCGTTATCAGAGTTAGATAATAGAAACATAGCAAAAAAATTATATTATTTATAGCAATTTATTACTTTTTAATTGATTTTCCCACACTATGATTCAAAATTCAAACTATAATTCCCAAACTACTACATTAATTCAAACGATGAGTTTTCCTAGGTAATGAATTTCTGTAACTGTGAAGATTACGAATAGATAAATGTTTTACTGATGATTGCGCCTCATTTTTAAAATTACTTTAAAATTACACATTTCATAAAAATTTTTAAATGAGACAATCAAGCCTTTATTTGAATATGAAATTTTTATTTAAATTTGCGTTTGTAATTAATAATGAAGGTTTCTGGATCTTTTAATGTTTTTTTCCTGAATCTAAGTTGAGTAGTTTCCACATTTCGTTGCGCGTTTCTTTAAGATACAATTAATAGACTCAAAAACCTGAAAAAGTTTAAACAATTAACGTCTCAAACAGAAATCCTTTATTTTTGTAACACTAATAAAACGTTCTCGAACTTTTCGATGGCAGCTCGAATCACAAATAAAATCACTTTATACTTTACTTTTGTAGTATTACAAAAATATAAAAATTGTGAGTTTTAATTTTTGACTAATTAGGAGTGTGACTAAATACTATAGAAAATATTTTACGGTATTTTAATTAGTAGTAGTAAGCTTTTTAACGCCAATTTGTAATTAGTAGTAGTAAGCTTTTTTACGCCAATTTGATCAAATTTAATACCAAATTAAACCAGGTTTTCCTGATTCGAACTTTACAGCGAAGATACAAACAACTTCGAAAAAACTTACTTTAAGCTAAACTTTGATGGTGACAAAAAAGATCAAACTAGACAGAATTAAAATTATTTCAGTAAATTAACAAATATGTAAGGGCAAAATTAAATTATTGTCTTGAGATGGACGCAGGGAGCAGGCGCTAAAAAGTGCTCAAAACCTCAATTTTTTGCATGTGTTTTTTTCAAATACTTGCTTCTATCACAAAGTTTTGTCAAAAATAAGATCTTTACAGCGTTTCTGGATAGCTCAAGTTTAGCCGGTCGAAAAAATGAAAAGAAACTTGACAATTAAAACGCATTTCATTCAAATTGGGTTAATTTAGAAAAAAATGAAGACTAATCTTGTTTAAAGTTTGAATAGAATTAAAATGGTACAATTTATTTCGCAAAAAAATGGGCCCAAAAATTTTCCTTTAAAAACGATTTTTTTGGCTGCTTTTGGTCAATCAAAAAATACTTCAAACCTATTGGTTCATTTACGGACAAAACTATTCTACTGCATGCCTCTTATGCAGCCCAACAAAACTTAAGCAGGTTGTAACCTCCTAAAGCGGGCGCAAAATGTTTTTATTAAAACAAATTGGTGTTTTATAAAGCAAAATTGACATTTTTGGCTACCAAACCATAACAAATATGTTCATACAAAACTAAGAAAAATAAACTTTTCTTAAATTTTGTTGGCTACATAATATGCTTACATTGATATATCTTTGTTCGTAAATGAACAAATAAGTTTTGAGTAGTTTTTGATTGACTAAACAAAGCCAAAAAGATCGTTCTTGGGAAAAATTTTTGAGCCTGGTTCTTGCAACAAATTACTACATATTAATTCTGTTTAAATTTTTAACAAAACTGGTCTTCATCATTTTTCGTCTAAAATTAACTCAATTTGCGAAAAATGCGTTTCAGTTTATAAGTTTTTTTTCATTGTGTCCGGATAATTTAAATCAACACTGTATCATGAAATAATGACGTTGATTACGAGGATTTTGGCGAGGCTGGAATTTCAAATATAAAAAGAAAATGGAAAAAATTCGAAACGTTTAACTTGTTATATACTCTGTTCAATTCGTTCTTACCTTTTGCCGCAACATTTGGTTTGAACTAAACTTCACTAAATTTTTTTTTTGTTCCGACTTCCGAAGAAAATGAGGAATATACAAATGCGTGGGATGGTTTATTTCAGACCAATTTTACAAAAACTGACTGCGTGTGCGCATCGATCCGGAAATCTGTGGATTGCCAATCGAGTATGTTTGCAGTAGACTAAAATACGGATGGATTTAATATCAGAATTAAATAAAAAATTTGCACTTCTGTCTTCTCAAAGAAACAGTTCACTAAACATTCAAAAATGAAATATGATTTTTGTGAAATTCTGCTTACATTTCACTTGTTTTTGAAGAAAATACTTTGTTGTTTGAAAAATTTGAGCTCTATACATAGCTATCGTTTAATTTTACGTTTTGTTTTGTGCATAGTGTGTCGGCGGACGGGAGTATTGTGAGTGTGAGGCGGGCGAGGATGGAGCATGCTGGCTACTACTGGTGCACCTATGAGGCCAGTCAGCAGGGGGGCATGTTCCAGGGCAGAGTCCACCAGAGGGCCATAGTTAGGTGTAAGTGTATCACCCCACCCCACAATACTTATCAGACATGGATTACATCACACTACACTTAACTTATGCAGAACCGCAAAAAATTTAAACGGACATAATTGATTAAAAGGACCAAATTACTGTGGCAGGTTGCTTATTTTATTTAATTATGCCTGTTTGAAGTTTTTAACTAAGTCTCTGACCAACAATTACAGATATATTTCAGGTCTCTTTCATAAATATAAATTATATGAAGTCAAGTACTCAATAAAAGTCGACAGGCACAATTAGTTCTAAACAGCAAAAAGAGTAGTAATGTGTTGTTATGGTGCAGATGGGCCGACTTACCAGCTGGACCAATTCAACCACACCAACTCCACCCGCACAGTCAAGGCATTCGTGGGGGGAACTGTGGACCTCTACTGCAACATTGTGTCCCTGCCATTCGCCAGAGTCGAGTGGTTCCGCAACACACGCAGAATAGGTACTATCAACCTACACGCAACGCCACGTAAAATGCCCCCTCCCCCCCCCCCCACTCACCAAAACCACCGACAAACATAGGTTCTTTACGTGAATCATTGATTCTACAAGGTTATGTATGAAGAGCGAATTTGGAGTTGGGTAATTACCTCGCATCCGATTATTTTCAAGACAATTGAACAATTATAACGGAAGTTTTAGTTCATAAAAGTCAAGGGTAGTTGGAAAACTGAAAAAGAGCCTCTTATTCTTTTTGTAGTTCCTAAACATATCCAGACTCTTGCCATCAGAACAATTAAGGTGTAAGGAGCAGCTACAGTCAAGTCGGAACACTATTAGCAATAAAACAACCACTGATGTCACTGACTGTTCATTGACAATGACTAGACAACATTGATTGGCCATTCTCTAAAGTTGATCCACGTAACGACTTTTACCCTGTCCTTGCAATATAATGAGTTTATATCTGTCTTCTGTTTATCTTTAGATAGTTTTTATTCAAAGATGTTTCTTGGTTTCCAGTTTGTGGATACAATTTTTCTGAAATCATCGAACAGTTGTAATTTTTATCCGCGATAAAGCTGTGTTTGCTGCGTGTATTGTAGTGTAGTGTAGTGTTGTTGATGTGTATGATTTCTTTTGTATGGATGTTTAGGACATGACCAGATACGACACGAGAACTCGGCGAACGGGAGGAGGTACTTCTACCACCTGATGAGAGACAAGAGTGGCTTCCCCACCATCCTCCGCATGAACGATCTGCAGTACGAGGACAGGGACGAGTACATCTGCAACGTCACCGCATTCGGTATCCGACAATCCTGGTCCACACTTCTCAAGGTCAAAGGTCAGTCTATTTCCCTTTTCTGTATCTCTGTTTATCAGCCGTCATCCATCATACTCCAGCCACTGGAGTGTAACTATAGTCACCCTGTTCACATAACAGTCTATATCATGTCGCATCTCTAGCCTAACGTCAAATTGAAACACTCCCATTCATTAAGTCCAGATACAGTCCAGAATAAAATACTACATTGATTTTGGTTCTCAGAGCAGTTTTTGTATCTCATAGCTTTTTTAAAAGCATAAACAGGAAACCCTCGCATCAAGTCACCCTTGCTGTTCCTACCTCAAATGCCTTAGGACGTAAACTTTCACTCGTGCACACACTGTAAAATTTTCAAGAAAAGAATTGACGCGTAATATGGATGCCATTTGATGCTAAAGATGGCCCTGACAGGCTATGAAAGATGCAAATACTTCCTCAGAAAAGATTGATTCTTAAAGCCATTTGAGTTTTTTCGGTCGCCTACTACATGTTGGGTGCGATGTTTTTACTGAGCTAGTCTATGAGTCATTCAGAGAGCTGATTTAGGAAACTACTGGCTGTTCTGCTTGCTGTACTTCATAATTATAAATCGATTTAATATTGCGAGTGAAATTTTTTCTTTTTTCCAGACAAATATTCGGCCTTTTTCCCCCTGGGCGTGATCGTCACTCAAATGGTGCTCATCTTCACCCTCATATTTGGTGCAGAGAAGGTCTACTCCAACAAGGGGGGACACAGTCATGGCCACAGTCATGGCCACGCGAGGAACCACACCTCACATGTACACCTGCCGACGGACACTACCATGGACCACAATGGAACCATACGCAGCAGAGCCATGTAAGTCCAGTTCATACATTATTCCGCGCCCATAATCTATCTTTCATGGGACACAAGTTAAGAAAAATCCTAACTGATAAATCCCAAATAAAACCACTGGAGGCTTTGGAAAAATCATAGTAATTTCTGGTCAGGGAGTAACAACCAACAAACTGCCCTGGATAATTATTTATTTTTAACTGTCTGAGTTTGTTCACTCCTCTGTATTTTTAAACTGATTACAAACAATCATTTTTTTAATTCCTAATTCTCTCAGATATACGAAGCCTGCAACTGCGTACATGCAAAGTTCGTTTCGAAAGCGACTCTTTGAATCCTTTTTTGTCGCTTAGCAAAAGTCGAATGCACATTTGGAGATGTCGTAGTCGCCATGTCTTGTAGACCAGCAAGTCTTAAGTTAGATAGGACAATCAAACAAAGTCGATGTTATTTAGCTGAAAAGTCAGTCAGTTCTTTTCTACCCCTGAAGGGGGAGGTGGCGTTTAACTTGTTGGTATTTCCGTCTGATGAGTACCGCTTATAACACCAATGTCACTCCCATTCGCATGTGCAATTGATGCATTACCATTCTCAAGTATTACTCTCACTTCGGAGCAGGCCTCTTGCAAATCCCTCCTGTGAACACGAATGCCAATAAAATCTGCAGTCGACTCTCAGGTTAATGCTACTGCTGCGAGAAAAAAAAACACGTACCAATTCTCTGAAAAAAGACAAAAATACTATTACAAATGGGCAAGCAAATATTAATAATACACGATTAGACAAAGTTTTACCGAAAAGACACCTTTCAAATATGCCAATTACCATGGTGACTTTAAAATGTGAGTTCAAAGCCAAAAAGTCTTATTAAACCAGCTTTCAGGTGCAAACGTTTTTTGCAGCTTTTTAGAGGATTGGTGTAAATTTTCGGTCTACCGCTTCATCTGCTCATTGTTACTTGATGAAACAGCTTCTGGGTGCAAAAGTGGGCTGTTCATTTGAGCAACAAATGGAGGAAAGAAATTAATTTCAGACTTGTCCTTAGGGAGATTTTGGCTATCTCAATTGACCACATACAACTGCGCGCATGCACAACGCAACGCTTCACTTATTTTTGCATCGGCATCATTTTGGACAGATCCATTTGAACTCACAAAGGCCACATTTTTTCTTTTAAAATGAGATTACTTTAAAATGCAAATTATGTTCCATGTAATGTGGTAAGAATCTATAAAAAGGTCTGTTTGAATAACATTAGCGCTTGTCAATTTTTTCAATTTCTTTTTTTTTCTTGTTTTCAGCGAAGCTCTTTTTTTGGCACTTACTGTCGTTTTTTGGTGCCTAGAATTTTCGCGTAGTATTACAATGGCAACCAAAATGGTCAAGCTAGTGATTAAGTGAGAGCTCATCATCACACACTATCTTTGCCATAGCAGGGGCTGAGTGTAAGATTTGAAGATCTTAAAGCGAACACTTTATCATTATGCTAAGTGTTTATAGTTCACTGCCGTCCGATACTCGTAAACTTTCTGATTTTTTAAATGAAACTTCGAAATATACGGTTGATATTTTACAGAAAAAAAAACAATTTAATTTTTCTACGGTAAGTTAGAAATACTGAAAGCAAACTTCTTTTTAGGCTTTTTTGCTACAGAATTTTTCTCAAAAGTTCTCAACTCAGAAACGAATCGGAGATTTGCATCAATTGGTATGCAGAAAAGGATCATAAAAAAAAACGGTTACAAATATCATAAAAAACATTTTAGCAAATTGCGTGGTTTTCAATTTTAAAAAAAAACATTCCTCGTGGAGAGCTCTTTGAAATCTCATTCTGCAGTTTTCGTGCAAAGCCCCCCTAAATATTGGCAGAATTTTGTATACCGGCATTCATACCGGCAGTGAAAAATCTCATAATTGATTTAGTTTTTTTTAAATAAGTTTTCGTTTCTTTATTTACAGAAAAGCGCTGCATGAAGTTTAAAAAAGTATTTTTTCGTATTTTATAGAACCACTTTTTTTTTAAGTAAAAACATTACTATCATGTTTTATTTGCCCAGCAAGCATTTCTCACTTTTGTCTCGACACAATATGGATCACGGCTAAAAATGCTTGAACATAGTGTATGACGAGACCCATTTTGATAATTTGCATGAAAAAAAAATCCACCGGAAGACATAGTTTCTCCCCAACTTCAGTAATAGGAACAAAAAATAACCCTAGTTGAGAATCTTCTTGGCTTATAGATTGCAATGTTTCGTTTTCTTATTGACATGTAAAATTTAAAAAAAATTTAAATCTTTCGAAAAAAAAGACGAAAATAATTTCAATTCAGATAAATTGAAATAGAAATTTGCAATCTTTTAAATGATCTTTTTTAAGGTTTGTAATTGAATGAATTTATCAAAATAATACAGTGATAAGTTAGATTATTCAGCGAAACAAAGAATTTGGAAAACTAGAACGCGTTTTCTCAAATTGTGTTGACATCAACCAAAAAATGACAAGAACAAAATTGGTTTCGGTTTTTACCAGAACTTTTAAACTACCAATTAAGCTACCGAATTACGCAAAAAAATCATGTTTCTTGTTGCTCAGACCTGCGCCAAAATTACCGATTCATTTGCTGAAGAAACTCAATTGAAGTGAGCTTCTTATGTAGCCAAAGAAATTTTAAGAAAGTCAAATTTCCAAAAAGCTCCGCCAATTGTGTTTAAAAATGTTTTCAAAAGCTGAGATTTAAATACTAAAAAGAATTTTTTGGTATCATACAAATTTGTTGCGCTCTAGAAGAACCTCGCATTGTATTAACTCGCTCAACAGTTGACCCGGTAGTTTATCTTAATTCTAAGCATGGTATAACTTAGTTCATTGCGTAATCCGGAAGTTTTAGCGTAATTTTAGTAAAAGTCTAAACATTTGTTTTTTGTTCTCAAAACTCCTTGTCTAAAATAATGACGTTTTGAGAAAATGTTAGTGAGAACACGACGAAAGGTTTTTCTATAAAACGCAGTAAGAAAAAATATAAATAAGCCTCGAATTAGTAAAATATGGGCTGCGTCTCGGATTCCAGCTGCGACCTAGAAATTATGAGTTTTACGCATTAACCATTCAGCCACAAATTAGTTAGAAAAAAAGGGTCATATTAATACACTAACGCTCACAAACTAGCTAGTATAATCAAATTTCCTGTTTAAAAATATCAGTTAAAAACTAATTATTTCACAGAAAGTGTCACAATTTTGAGCGCAGGCCGAAATTGATGATATTCGGCCGGACATATTCTATCTAGCGAATAGGTTTGTCATGGACTATATTTGGAGCTAAAATTTTTTTAAAGAGAAGTGGAGCAAAAATAATCAAAATGAAAACCATGAAAAAATGGACGAGACTTTGTCGAAAATTTCAATTTAATTAACAAACTATTTTTTATCTTTATGAAGTAAAACTTAATTGTCAGAATTAAACAATTTAGTGAAAAAACAAAACAGTCGTACAGGTTTTCAGTTTAAAATTTAATACAAAAAAAATCATTGAAAAAATGAAAACAATTTGAAAAACAAATGATTGCTCAGATTGTTGTATGCGCTTAAAATCACGTATCATGTTCACCGGGCCAGAATTTGAGGCGCGGGCCCGGCTTAATTGGAGAACAAAAAATTTAAGCCCGACCCGGGCCCGTTTATAGTGAAAACAAAAATTTCAAACCAAAAGTTCATTAAATTCAAATGTGAATCATAAAAAATAAAAATTTAATAAGACCATTGGCTGCAGCCGATCGTAGCAGTTCGAATTGGCTGACTTTTGCCTCAACGGAAGCCCCATCAGTTATGAAGTGAAGTTTCAAAAGGTGCAAAACGAAGTGTGAAAGGTGTTGACAGAAGTGTGAAAGGTGCGAACTCTTTTGAAAGTCAGACCCGGGCCCGATTGCTGATCCAAAAAATGAGGCCCGAGCCCGTGCTGATAATATACAGTGCTGATTTAAATTACCCGGACAAAACGAACGAAACTTGAATTTTCAAACACGCTTTTCTCAAATTGGGTTAAGATTAAACAAGAAGTGAACAAAAATTCTTAGAAGTTGCTTAGAATTAAGCACAAAAGTTGCTTAGAATTTCATCAACATTAATATGGTGCATTCCCCCCCCCCCCCCCCGAAATTCTCAACCAAAATTTAACCTATAAAAATTTATGAAAATCCCATTTATTGACTATCAAGCAATAATATTTTCTCTTATACATGGAGGTTTAAACCTTGTACAGCTTTGTTGGGCTGTGTAAGAGGCCTCTTGTGATATAATTTTCTCATCTAATAAAGTGGTTTCAGCGTAATTCTTGATTAGTTTTATTTAAAAAGCCAAAATGTCCCATTTTTGGGGTAAAAATTTGGTTTAGAATTTCGGAGAAGAAACCATATTATTTGCACCATACTAACTCTGATGAAATTCTAAGCAACTTTTGTTTTCTTCCTTTTTCGTCTAATCTTAACCCTATTTGCAAAAAAAAACGAGTTTGAAAATTCAAGTTTTGTTCGTTTTGTCCGGATAATTTAAATCAGCACTGTATAATCGATCATGCTTAAACAAACACTATAGGACTTGACCCATTATCCCTGAAAACTCTCGGTTATAAATTATAGAAGAACTTTTAGAAAAATTGAAAGAATTTTTCAGTTAGAAACTTTAGAAGGGTTTCTATGATTCTATGAGTCAAATTCTTTACAAGAAAAGTGAATTGGGATTAGTAAGTGAGTAGTTTTGGTTGAGCAGGCCGCAGCCTCACACGTCGCCTCACATTGGATCAGCTCATGTTCAGTCGCAGTCTCATTATTCTGCCCATCCAGACGTGAAACAGCACAGAAGTCGACCCAAATACAAAACCCAGGCTCAAAATTGTAACAATGCAAAGCAACACAAGCAGGTATAACATAACACTCACACCTTCATATACGAACACGCACAACATCCAGCCACGATGAACGAAGAAAAAAGTACAATATAGTCTAGGAAAAATCAATTCACACCGTAGTTATTTACATTCCCACTTATCCTCCAGTCCTCGAAGTTATAATAGTTTAGCCCTGTTCATCATTAACCCATCATACATCAATTACCACCTAATAGCCACTTCAAAGTTCACCCCAAGCAATGGGCACTTTGCTATTTCAATAACTCGTACAGACAATCTCGTAGATACGAGAACACGAGAACAGCTGCAATGGCGCGGTTGTTAATAGATACTCTCTGTATAGAGCACAATCGTCTCTTTGGTCTCATGAAACTTGCTCCCTTCTTGTTGGATATCATCCACGTAAAACTGATTTTCGGACCTAGCAAGTCTTTTTTTGAAATCAAGCTACAAAAATCACAAACTATCGATCATCAAGAAACATTGACAGAGTATACTACACATTCAACGTTTCTACGATTTTGAGGAAAGTCATACAATTCGACCTAGTTATGCTGTGTGAGTCGCAGTCAATCTATTAAAGGTTGGAAGACTGCTTATAAGGGCAGTCTGTTTTGCTGTAATCTCTCGTTTAGCTGTATTTATAGTAATTTGTAGCTAGATGACTTTTTTGTTTTAGGACCTTATCTGGGAACGTGGGGGCGGCAACGGCTGGGTCGGATGGGAGGGCGGCGACAATCACCAGCAACCCCATGCACCACCACAGCCAAACAAACAACCTCTCACCCACCCACTTCCCTCACCAACTATCCTCTCCTCACCCTCCCACCGCCTCTGGACAGAACCATCCGAATCAGCAGAACCCCCACAACAGCAGCAGACAAGAGCAAAACAGCCACAGTTTGCAGCCCCAACACACAGCCACAGGAGTCTACATGTCCAACAGCCTCTCCCGAGGACCACACCACGCAATGTCCCCACCACCACAGGTAGGTGTCTCCTCAACTCCCCACCCCCCCCCCTTCATCAAACACACACACACACACACACACACACACACACACACACACACACACACACACACACGCACCCCTATTCTCAACTGAAACCAAGCTCGCATTAGATACTAGGCAAACTTTGATTCCCGAACGTCTTAGATTTTAATTGCGAATGTTAGTGCAAAGAAGAGGAGCAAACAATTGCTATTTGTCATCGCCACGTGTTAAATTTACATCAGCATTAATCTCAATCAAAGACCAGTCTAAAAGATGAACAAGACTGCTCGTATCAGGGCGAAGCCCTGAATGTTCCGACGGCCTTTTAAGATTTATGGAGCAGTAATAACATTGAAAAATTAAATGAAACAAGACTGCTCGTATCAGGGCGAAGCCCTGAATGTTCCGACCGCCTTTTAATGTTTATGGAGCAGTAATGACATTTGAGAAATTAAATGAAATGAAACAAAATGAAAATTTTTTTTTCTAAAATTTGAAATTTTTTAAATGAAAATCATCCCCCCACACGCCATATTAAGTACAAAAGGATAGATTTCGCTCCTTGTAACAAATCAATTATGGCAAAAATGTCAAAAATGGCTAGTTAAAAAGTCGAAATTTGTCTGAAGAAAAAAAACCCCACCTCGAGCACAAATATTCCGTTACTTTCGTATCGAAAGTCGGAACAATGATCTACGAGTAGAACAAGCCAAAAAGTTGAACAAGACTGCTCGCATATCAGGGCAAAGCCTTGAATTTTACGACTGCTCCTTAATCCACATCGAATAGTTTTTGGCAAAAGAAAATATTGAAAAGCTATGAGTTTTGGACATTATCAAAGATCAAGTATGAAAAATTGTATCGTAGGAAAATAATACGACCAATTATTTAGCCTCAATTCAATTTGGAATGCTTATGTTGTGCGGTATAATTCGCCACGCATAAGTAACTCGCGTTACGCTTTCAGGATTATCGGTAAAATCTTCAAAGCGCGCATAAATAGTCCAGAAACTAGCCAAATTGGCAAATTTCAAACTCCCAAATTTTTGCAGAAAATGGTTGGAGGTAAGCTATCTTTTCGAATTTGATTTTGGGTAGTCAATATCTTCAATGAGGCATAATTTTTTTTTGTTAAAAATGATCATTTCGATCGCCGCATATTGACTGAATCAAAAAACTACACAAACGCATAAATATTCCGTTTTCTTCGAAAGTCGGAATTACAAACAAAATATAATTGGTTAGTATGAAAAAAATTTGCAGCTGTGGCTGAAAATCAAACATTTCACACCCGTACAAACAAGACATGGATTGTAATCAATTTTATACAGATAATGGGTGACCGCGCGACTAGCATAAAAATTTAAACCACGACTAAAAATTTAAACGACTAGCATGACTTTGATGACTTTCTTTTTCTCAGAAACACAAAACAATAATTCGTTCAAAATTAATCCCGAATTTTTGAAAAATAGAAACGTGAAATTAAGCAAACAACAAACAAATTAAAATTTGAAAACAAGTTACCATCCTCCCCTTCCCCCGAATATGTTTAGGGGCGATGTTAACTTGCTTAATTTTGGTCTGAGTTCGAATATTAGTTTGAATTCAAAACTGGGCTGCAGGATCAGATATAATAAAATCCCCCCTATAATGAAATCATCCAACTGTTAAGGATATAGGTTAAGTTCTGTCCTTAGTTTCGAACCTCCTCACTTTTGCAAAAGGGGGGAATCGTAAAGAGATCCGGAGGATCTTAACTTGGTATTTTGGGGAGAGGGAGGGGAGGGAGAGAAGGGGAGTGAGGGGGGTGTATGATACGAAGTTAACTTGATCCAAATTTTGTATCTCATAAATTGTGATTAGTCACACTTAGACTCAGTAAAAGATTTAGAGGGTGCGAAGAGCATGTGCCTCCTCATATGAACACCCCCAGGATATGCGACCTCATAGCCACACAAGGACCTCCCCCCGTTGTTACTAGTTTGTGACTTCAACTTATGGTGATCGAACCTATAATTGGAATGCGCATTTTACACAGAATTGCGGTGTCAAAAAATGTAAGCGTAGAGGGATAGTTAACAAGGCGCAATAGGAAGGAAATATTTAACAAGATCCTAATGATTTTATTTATTTTCATTATTTCAATTTTGTGTTTCAATTTTTATACTAGTCGATACGATTTTCAATTTAAAAATTTTCATGCTAGTCGAGTTTTATGCTAGTCAATACACCGCTAGATAATGAAACAAAAAGTTAGAAAAAATTGATTTGAAGCCACCTAAAAACGATTTAGTTCGAAACAAAAAAAGAGTTTAAAAAATTAATTTCAATCGATTCTAAATTATTTCAAATCCAATTTTTGTCAATTTATTTTGTTTTTTTTTCTCATCCGAAGGCTATTAACCACAAAATCGATGTAAATTGGTTTAAAATTGATTTTTCTCGGTAATTTTTAACTTATAGTGAGGCAAAAAAAGCTCTGCTGGCGGAGCTACTTCGCGTTTCGAAAAAATGTTTCAATTTTTAGATGTCCCAGAGGAATTTTAAAAATTGCTATTGATCCAGTTTTCTCAAATTGCGTTTTATTTATCATGAATGGTTCTAGCTTTAAAAAATAGTTAGAAAAATAGTTTAAATTATTATAACTAAGCCCTAAAAATAGGTCAAAAGTAATTTTTGAAGATCGTGGTTATCTATCATACAAAACTACAAAATAATGGGCACAAATGTTTTGTATTGATTTTCGCCATCAAATTGCATACTTTTAAGCTTGGTTTTAGGTACGTGAATTAAGGAAATTAGTCTTTTCACCATCTTTATAATTTTACAATATGTTAAATGAATTATGTAGTCAATAAGTCCGAAAATTGGTCAAAATGGAAGCACCGATGAAAAAATTTGCTTTTTTTCAAAGTTTGTTAAATTGACATTTAAATGCTTTCGTTTGCTTTTTTCCACAAGTTCGGGTAATTTGCAAGGTCTTATTTTATTCTAACTGTTGCAGGTGCCGGCACCCCCTCCGCCGCCGCCGCCCCAGCAGTCTCATCATGGCTCCACACACCATCATCACCCTCATCATCATCATGGACAGGGAGGGGGCATACTGTCCATAGACCAGATGCAGTCACAGCCACTCATCTTGCAACACCACCAGCAACAACAACAGCAGCAGTATTCTGGGGGCTATGATAGTGCAGGGGGGACTCTGGTTAGTCTTCACAGAAGCTCCACCCTTCCCACTCAATACCCACACCCACACCATCTCTATGGCCGCCAAAACAGTCCCCCCAATAGCTATAGTCACACAAGTCAGCAGCAGAGGGGAGGCCGCGTGATATGACAACAGCCCCCATTTTGGCTATACTGTGGTCTATGGTAGTAGTGAAAGCTAACCAACAGTCCATGACCGATGCCACGACAACTTATACACAACGCATGACCTCTGCTGCTTATGTTTGAAGCCAGTTTAGACCTCACGTGACAATGAGAATGGAATGAATCATTCGTTCAATCGCCGAGTGCTTCTCATTTTGTAGAAATATGCGGCCAAAAATGACGAGAGAAGATGAAAACTTTTTAAGAGGCGAGATATACGCATCTTGCAGTGTATAGCTATTCTAATTAGAGTACATCCTATACGAATTATAGACTTGAACTATGGTACATTTAGTATAAATGTCGTTGTTGAAATTTGGATTAACCTATCACTGAATCGTTT